ATTAAAGTTTAAAAGTGCACAAGGACTTATGAAGACCCTGTATATACACACGCCTGGCTGCCTGGCTGCCTAGCTGCCTATCTATCTATCTATCTATCTATCTAATGTTAGTGGGATTGTATCCTGCAAACCCTGAGCAAAATTAGTTGGGGGCCCAATGCACATGGAGTTGAAGAGATTTGTGGACAGGGAAATGTATCTGTAGTTTCCATACCTAATATCATTATCTGGGTATCTGCAACTGTAGGAACATGTAGGCTGGACTGCTCACTGTCACCTTTGAGAATTTCCCTTTTCTCATTGAATCTTAGGGTTGGAAAAGGCTTTAAAGCTCATCTATTCTATGCAGGTTGCACAATTTTAAAACCATTCTGGACATAAGCCTGTCTAGTTTCCTCTTGAATACTTCCAGTGAAGGAAATTCTAAAACTTCCTGGGGAAACTTGTTTCATTTCCCTACTGTTTTGACAATTATGGTTTTCTCCCTTTCCCCTGAAATCCAATCCAAATTTTCTTTACTGCAGTTTAAGTCTATTGCTTTATGTCTTGCCCCCTATAGCCAGGAAGAATTGTTGCTCTCCATTTTTGTCATGGCAGCCATTCAAGTATTTGAAAGCTGATGTCATGCCCCCCACCTTGTAATCTCCTTTTCTCCAAACTAAGCATACCTAATTCTCTCAATCTAGTTATTTCAACCTTTCCCTGACATTTAATGGTATCTATTAGTAAACAGTTCAATCTTTGCTTTTCATACCATTAGCTACCTTAAAAAAAAAATCACACTAGGGGCCTTTGGATTTTAAAGTTTTAATGTTCTAGTTATCTCCATATACCTGTTTCATCTAAATATACTAAGAATGATTTAATATTTTGCATTTTCCCCTAACATTTTAAAGGCTCAGCTCTGTCAGAGGTGTCATGTGCCAATGGAAAGAATCTCAAGGAAAAGTTTTTTGAGATTTAACATTGATTTAGAATTGATCTAGAACCTTAATTACAATAGGGACAAACCCAGTATTTTCCCTAAAGCATCTCTTTCTCTCCCTTGAAATGGTACCTCCCGACAGCAAAACCCAAAGCAAGCTTGTCCAGCCTGGCACACCCTGTACAAGCTGCCCATAGGCTAAGAGAACTGCTATGGCGACGAGCAATGTTGTCCACCACTTAGACCCAGTGGTATTGGCATCTTGCCCTTTCTGTGAGGAGCAGATGATTCTTTTACATGCCTTCCTGGACTGCCCCAGGTACAGCTGTTCTTTGCCACCCTCAGCACCCTCTTTGGCACACAAGACTTGGACTTCTCCAAGGCTATTCTTGATCGCAAACCAAGTGGCCGAGGGAACTGTGATCTTCCTGTCCAATTTCCTGCTGGGTCTGGCCAAGACTCCAAAAAGCTGCAAAAATTAGCTCACTGGGAGCAGCTCTGAAACACCTTCCAACTCTTCCATATTTTGGTCCAGGCACACTTCATATTTGAATATAGACACTTTTTGTAACAAAATGTGAACCAGCCTTTGTGTTGTGCTGGGTCATTGAGGGGGCGTTCTGCAAGGTGGAAAATAGACAGCTAGTCCTAAATGTGTAACCCCATGAAGGAGATGCAGTTTCAATCTCTGTGATGTCATGTTTTTGTTGCTGATAAGTGTTTCATGCTCAGCTCCTGGGAGGGCTGCCTACTTTTGCACTTTCACCTTTTTTGTGTTTAATATTTTTGTAATAAAGTTTTTAAAAAGTTTGTCTCCCTCCCTGCCTCCCCCTGTCTCAGCTTCACTCCAGTGCCTCTATGGACAATGTTCCCAGCCCTTCATGACTGGTTCCTTCCAAATAATTAAAAACAACAACAAAACAAAACAAAACAAAAAAACAGGCAATACCATTACAAGGAGAACATGTTGAAAGACTGGATGTGAAGATGCTCACTACCCAAAAAAGGATACTTATCATCTATTAGGATCAGCCCTTAGTAACAACAACACATTACATTCAGTATATTGCTGTTCATATACATTAGGATAAAACTTCATCTTTGCTGCTAATGCCACAAAGTTATTTAATTTTTCAAAAGAAATAAACAGCCCATTTAAAACACTTTCAAACACTGTTAATCATTCTTGAAGTCCCCAATTACACATGATAATTTACTGTTTTAAACATAATGTATTTATGGAAACTAATTAATTTCTCTGTATGTACGTAAATGTAATCTTATTAATGTTATAAAGACAAATTAGAACACCATATTTCTTCATTATTTAAATATAGAGACCCAGAATAGAAATAACCTTGTAATTAATTACAAATGAAATGCTGTTTTCTAAACAGAAAATGATCATCGCCAACACACAATCCTGCTAAGTTGCTATCATGCGCTGAAATTCTGAGTAAATGTGACCATAAACTATAAGTTTTGTAAAGGCTACCCTTTCAGTTAAACATTACTCAGTGCCCCTTTTTTCCTTTTTTTCATTCTTTTTCTTTTTTCTCCTAAAGTACTATAGCCTATTTGTTGCTACTTGAATTTCTTTTGCATGCTTTGAAAAGACATTCACCTTACTCCATAATTCTCTCTCTCTCACTATTTCTCCTTCCCCAGCAAATACAAACCTTATGTCAGAGGCCCTAACAGGCAGTCTAGCCTGGGCTAATTGCCTAATTGGCCACACTTGCCTGGGGGCTCTGACTGGCAGCCCTATCCCAGCTAACGGTTTAGCTGCCTATTGTTAGGGCCTCTAGATTGGCAGCTGAAGCCACCCATGTAGTTCTACCTCTGGCAGCAGGTTGCAGGTCAGTGAACAGCAGGGATCCTGGCTTTCTCTGATTTAAAAAAATCCCCAATTTTCAGTTAAAAATGTAACCCCAAATACACACTTTTCTGTGATTTAAATGAAACACCACTAATAGATCTACATCTATATCTATATCGAGATATATAATATAAAATAGCTAGATAGATGGGTAGATAATTCATTTTAATTGTGGAAATTGTGGATTTGGGGCTCCTTTTTTTAAAGTGAAAATTTGGGATTTTTTTTAAATCAGAGAAAACCAGGATCCCTGGTGAACAGTTCTTTTTGGAGGTCTATTCTTGTAAAGCTCTCAGATCTGGTGCTCTTTGTTTTCTGATCTGACTTCTGCCTCTGCTGATTTTGGTCCTGGACTCTTCCCTCCCCTGCCTCCCTCCCCCTGCCTTTCAGGATTTTGCCTTTGAATCTGGCAATTCATTCTCTGACTCCTGATTCATCCTGATTCTGTTTCTGAATCCTAGTATACTCTGACTCCAGTTCTGAACCTGGTATGGTCCAACTTCTGCTTTGTCTTCTGGCTAATTTGGGTCCAGCCACTGTCTTCTGACTTTTGAAGCTAGACTTGGCCTGTGATTTGAACTCTACTCCTGGATTTCCTTTTGGATCTGGTACCTTGGTCTCTGATCCCTAACTCAGCCTGTGGTTTGTCTCCTGCCCTTCCTCACTAGTCTAACCATTTGGCAAGATTGCAGATATCCTGGTACTTACATTATACACTCATGGAATGTATGAATACTGTTTTTCAAAATGTCATTAGTCTATTACCCTTCAAATTCCTATGCTTGTGGACCACTGATCTATTGGATGGGCATCCAGAGTACTGTGGAAGTTCAAAAGATAACATGTAGACTAATTCATTGATTGGAAAACAGTATGGGTGCATACCTCTAGCTTCCATAATATTTCAATGGAAGTGTTAGACTTTGTGCCCTGTGGTATTTCCCAATATATAGCATGTTACATTAGCATTCACTACAGCATTTCTTGCACTTCCTATAAAGCAGGGCTGTCCTGTGTCTGCATGTGGTATGCAAGTGGTTAAATCATAGCTTGTGTGGCTGGAAGTTCTGTGGCAGGGATAAGTGGTAACAATAACCCCCTTAGCTTCCAGAGCTGCTGTGTTGGTGGAGCCAGCACCTGGGGGGTTAATGCTGTCTCCACATTGATGTCTTCCCCCCCTGAATTTCCAGGTTGGGAGTCTTAAGGATGGCTTTTGACAGTCAGACAGGTGGTAGTTTTCTCCGGTAAAAAAAAAAAAATGGTGTTTTATTTTAATCATGGGATCCAAAAATTGGGGATTTATTTTTTAATCAAAGAAAACCAGGATCCCTGGTAATGATTCAGTCAACACAAGGGGATTAGTGTAGGTGTAACCCATCCAACTGTTGAAAGTAGGTCATCCATCCCATGAGAAGCTCTGCTGTCCACAGCTGATCCCCCAACCTAATGAGTTAGACTGCCTTGCTATAAAGCATGTGGCAATGTATTCTCTTAGTTTCAGTAGAGGATGAGTGAAGAATGGAAGGTGGCAAAAAGTAACCTATACCCATTGTCCTCAGTATTTATTAAATTAACCTTGACATTCCATGAATAGTCTCCAATTTTTCATTAAAAGCCCACTGTTTTGAATGTCAGCACTGAAACACATTTGTAGAAAGCAAATGATGATTTTTTTCATAGTATTCAGTCAGGTATAAATAAAAAGGAATATACACACCTATAACAAGACTACAATAAGTATTGTCCTTGTGACAAGGCATTTAGCAGAATTCACAGATTTCACTGGAATCTGATAGGCTGCACTACGAGTATTTCTGTTATGGCCTTTTATTAAACCAACTCAAACAGTTGGAAAAATTCTTCTTTGCTAGCTTTTGGGTGTACACACTCTTCTTCAGGCAGAGGGAGTGTCTGCAGTTGTTTTGATTCAGTCGTCAAATTGGCCCAAATCTCCTCCAAATCAAATCAGCCACCAAAGCTTTGCACAGCCCTCCTGCCCATGTCCTTATGCCAACACAGCCACAACCAACATCTTTGTTATGGCCTCAAACGTCTGATCTCTTAGGCTGTCACCCATGCACCTTAGAACCTGCACCACCCCAGCCCATACTACAACAAATACAACAATCTGAAACCATCTTTTCTACACCTCCTCCAGCAGGATTTTATTAGGTTTCTAGGCTCAAGTATGCTGATACACAACTGAAATTACAATGTCTCAACACTAAGCCAAACACCCAGTTTTTACCCTTGTGCTTACATTGCTTTCTTAGTCTACAAACTGGCCCATAACCTCTGGCTACAACTTTGTCCTCCTTCTTCCTCCTGCCAAAGTCTTTTTTTCCCTAAATTGTTCTATTCCCCCCCACAGAGGGCTTTGTTCAAGTCCTGAAGGGCTTTGTTTTCCTCCAGCAGGGCTTTCTTCTCATTATTGAGGGCAGTATTCTCCTCCGTAAGAGCTTTGTACTCCTCCTGGATAGATAGTTTCTCCTCATGGAGTGCAATTTTCTCCTCACGAAGTGCCTTTTCCTCTTCACGGAGGGCTTTGTCATCCTTATGGAGAACCTTGATCTGCTCTTGGAAGGCCTTGTTCTCTTCCCACAAGGCCATAATTTCGTGCTGAAGTGCTTTTTCCTCCATTGCAAAGGCTATTTCTTGCTTTTTCAGAGCTATAATCTCTTCCCGAAGGGCCTTGTTTTGTTTTCGGAGGGCATTTTCCTGCTTTTCAAGAACACTTTGTTTCTCTAAGTTTTTTTTCCTCTCCTGGAAGATCTTGTTCTCCTCCCAGAGGATCTTATTTTCTTCTCGAATGGTTTGATTCTCTTGGTGGAAGGCCTTGTTCTCCACACGACAAGCCCTGTTTTCCTGACGAAGGACATGATTCTCCTCCCGGAGGATCTGATTCTCCTTCCAAAGGCTTTGGTTAAGCTTTTTCTGTTGGGAGGAGGAGGTGGAAGAGGGCTGTACAGGTAAAGAACTGTTTTCATTTAACCACTTGCCATCCTCAAAATAAATCATCTTGTCACTTAGCTGCACCCTCAAGGGGGTGGGGTCTGTGGTTCAAACTCGGCTTAGCCTGCTAGTAATTCATCAGATGAAAAATGAAACTGAAGGCTCAGTAAGCACTTCTGCAGAGGAACATTGTGGGATACAGAATTAACACCATTAATAATGAAATCAGTTTAAACACCTGATAAATATTGTGCATTCTTGGAAGAATGTCTGGTAAAATTAAATTTAGGAGATAAGTTGTTTATAATCCATTTATTGGTATGCATAGTTGGGGGGGAACAATGTCAAGTATAGCACCTGGAGTATTTAAAATCAGATATCACTCTTAATGGGTGTGGCTACATGTGCAATTAATTAGAAGCAATAAACTCCAGTGCTTATTGTGAGGGGGTTCATTGCTTCAGGGTGCACCATTTGAACATGTTCCTGGGACTGCAGCACATTGTGCCGGGTCAGAGCAGCCCTGGCTGGCAGTAGGTCTGGGGGGTCAGCCTGCCAGCCCTGGGCTGCTTCAGCCTGGTTCAGTTGGTGTGGAGGAGCTGGATGGAGCACAAGGATGCCACAATACAGGAATAACTGGCAGGCAGCCCCTGCAGTGAAGCAGCCTTGCGCCCCAGCCAGCCACGTCAGCATCTTCACATGTGGTGTTGCGGAGTAAAATCTCCGCAGCAAGATGGTACTTGTTAGATGAAATTCTATTGAATTCAGCGGAGTGATGCCTTTATACCAGTGTCACTGGGAGTGAAATTTTGTGTAAATTTACACGTACTTTTTTAACACAAAGTAGACAGATACACTTTTTGTTTTTGTCATGAATAGTTGAATTAAAGATAAGCGTTTCTGAACTTAACTATGAAACAAAATTATTTATTTAAAAACGCAATAATTTGTAATTCATTAAATGTGTACCATTGTCTTTAAGTGGTGACATCTAAGAACTTTAAATGCATAAAATCTTTAACTTAAATGAAAGGAGATCTGATTATGATTTCATTTTCACTTTACAATGACATAATGCAATTTAATTAGAAGGAGTCACTCTTGATTTACACTGCTGCGTGCAAATAAAAACCAAGGGGATCCCACACACATGCGGGGAGCAGACTCAATTAATCGAGTCTGTTGGAGCACAGAAATTGATGTGTTCTGGCAGCTTTGCACGTCACGTGTATCAGTATCGCTGCACATCTCTGTACTGACAAAATGGCAGCGTGGTGCTTTGAAATGAAACATATCTGGTGAGCTTTGGTTCAAAGCACCCCACCACCATTTTTTAGCCCTACCCCACCAGCCCACCACCAGCATGAGAGCACACGGCAACTCTGATACACATGATGTGCAGGCACTTTTAATTAACGTGGCTCACAAATTAAAGCACCCAGTGTTGCGCTGGGAGCACATGTAAAAATATCCAACACCACCAATGTTAAACCAGTGTTAAACACCCCACCCTTTTATCTAATAATCAAGAACTGTGTATTTTGTTTCTGCTCATTTTTTGAAAGAGATTGTTTTAAAGGTGTTTGTAATGAATAATTGTATTTTTAGGTATCGCCCGAATCCTCTCCTTGGTTACAACTGTAGTATGTTGCTTTCTTTTTCGGTATTATACCATATACAGAAAGGGGCTGATCCTCTACTGTGTTTAAAATGGTAATATGTTATACCTTTGGGACAAAAAGCAAGTAACTAATGAACTACTAATTTTCTATTTAGGATAGCATCAAATACACAGAGGAGCTGACTCTCTGTCAGTTATTGGAGCTAAACCAATTTACACCAGCTAAAAATCTGGCCAAATATAAGGCAAGTATCTGACCAATATAAGATACCCTGAAGTACTTACTTGGTGTTGCTCTTTAATCAGCTTGCCATCCAATGCCTTGGTGACAGACACTCAAGAGATTGTGGTTGGTTGTATGCAGTGATGTCATAAAGATAATTTCAGTGATGCAAGAATCAGTAGCCCAGGTAATCCCAACTCTGGACTGGTCACAAGGGGAGCAATAAATATGCATAAAGCTAGAAGTCTGGCTGAGAGTTGTCTATGGCTTGTATTTCTCAGTCATTCTTCATGCTTGCTTTTTTATTACAGCATCCTAAAGTATTTTTTGGCTGGCTGCCTGGTTGCCTCCAGAGCTGAAATGTAGAACATTACAAGAACAGTTCCTGTATTGACTCTGAAGATTCTTAGTTAATATTTTCCCTTTATTCACCTGAGTGTAAATCTGTAATAACTCCATCGATAGATGTAAAGTTATTTTAGATTCACACTGCTGTAACAGAAAGAGAAATTTAGGTCTGTATACCTTAATTATTAGGCTAACAATAGTAGGGAGATTCAGCGATGTGGGTAATCTGAAACAAACAATTATAATGAATATATATTGAAGCAGAAAAGAATGTGGTGATACACTATTTTCAGTCTTCAATGCCCACTCCCACAGCCTCCCGTGATATCACTGTATACATATACATAGTCCCAGCATTCATTACACAATTATAATTAATGTGTTATTCTGTATACCAGTATAAACTCTTAGCTCCATTAATGTAATGGAGTCACTGTCTTTTACACACTGATGGCAGAATCTTTTCCATTCTTTATGACCTTTGAGCAAGTGAATATTTTACAGCAATTTTTGAATAGATGTTTTCCATGCATCTGACATCTGACTGAGGCAACTGACAGTGTTTTTTAATCATTCTGTTTCTGTCAAAGATTTTTTTTAAAGTTGCAGAGATATTTTTCAAGTCCAATAAAGTTAAAATGAGATCTTGCTTTACATCATTAGCTGGGATAATCCTGACTTGAGTGCAGGGTTGGAATAAATGACTTCCTGATGTCCTTTCCAGCCCATTTTTTCCATGATTCTGTTTTCTATCATGCCTTCTTTTTGTGTTGTCACTTGTTTCTTTATGTTATTAGGTAGAGCACTGATGCTCAGTAATCTCTGGAGAGGAATACACACAAAAACCACTGACATTTTTTCAAGGATGATTAGCCTTCTAAATCCTTCTCTCCAAAAATATCCCCTTTTTCCATATGGATGTGAGGCCAATGGGGCAGCAGATGAGCAATTCTCCTGAACCTGTTTATGTTGAATGTGATCTTTCTTTGTGCACCTTTTGTTTTGAGCTCTTTCTTTTATGATTAGGCACAGTCTTAATTTAATTTTTTTTCTGTCCTTAATAAAATAAATCTGAATCCTAATTACAGTCCATCCTATGGTCTTTGTCTGTCTTCAGCTATTGGCCTTGCAGAGGGAGATGGAGTTACCTATATCCATAAGGTGAATAAATACTAAACAATAGTCAGTCACTGATGTTCCATTTCAGAATGTATAATTTAAAGACACATTAGCCATTTTGGAATGAAAGCCATCTCCATTCCTAACCCCAGCCTGTAGGTGGAAGGAGGCTGGCTGTTTCCACATTCAATAGAGAAGAACATGTCTATATTTACAGACCTTTTGCCCAGCAGCATGGGTATGAGGGGATGGTTAGTCTGATCTGTATAGTTCTCATCTGATGTAAAGTGATGTAGTGCTTCGAAAGCCCATGATAATTTGGACCATTTGAGAATCTATAGCACTACGTACTCCAATCCATTCCAAGAAGTTTAAGTAGCAGATGGCCTCATTGAACTTCAGAACAAAAAAAAATCATATGCTAGACCATGATATCACTTTTAAATCAAAATTTCCATAGGAACCAGCAGACAGTTCTGTTTAACCATGGATGCTGTGATATGGCCTGCTTATGCTTTCATTGCCCATCCTCAGGTACATGAGATATGGGAAGGTGAGAAAAAGCTAGGGCCCAGTCCTATAAATCTTTAATGTAAACTTCGAATATTCAGAAAACAAGGCTTCAAAATAGCTCTGTCAAGAGTATAATATAATGAGACTTTGGATTCAGACAGCACACACACACACACACACACACACACACACACACACACACACACACACACACACAGTTTTTTTTGTATGCGCGCCCACACCC